TGTTTTATATATATACTAGAGGCCTGGTGCACAAAAATTTGTGCACTCGGGGAGGGTCCCTCAGCCCAGCCTGTGCTCTCTCACAGTCTGGGACCCCTCAGGGGATGACCACCTGCTGGTTTAGGCCCGCTCCCCAGCAGTCATACATCCCTCTGGCAACCCGGGAGCCCTCGGGGGATTTGCATGTTTCTCTTTTTATTAGATTAGAGCAGAGGTCCTCAAGCTACGGCCCGCGGGCCACATGCAAATACAAATATTGTATTTGTTCCCGTTTTTTTTTTTTTTTTCTTCAAAATGAGATATGTGCAGTGTGCATAGGAATTTGTTCATAGTTTTTTTTTTAAACTATAGTCCAGCTCTCCAACGGTCTGAGGGACAGTGAACTGGCCCCCTGTTTAAAAAGTTTGAGGACCCCTGGATTAGATCATGGTTTTTTTTTTTCTTGCCATCATTAACCATAGTAACTGTTGCTTATGTATTAAAGTTCTATTCCTGCTAAGTCTAGAAACAGCCTCAGAATACTTCTCACCATTCTTCTTAAGTCTGATGCTTAGTTGATCAGAATTAATACCTGAGATGAAGCCTCTTACTGCAGATGTATCCCAGAATGTATGGCATCCTCTCTGCTTTATGATCCAGCTAATAATACATTGCCTCAATCATGTTGATTGAGGTCATTTTTCTCCTTTCAGTTTCTAGTAGTAGATTACTACCTAATGCCTAGGAAGTAAAATTGACTGTCTCCATGTAGATCACAAAATAAGGCACTTTTCTCATCAATAAAATTTCATTCTTTCAGCATGAGTAATTTTGTCAACAACAATTTGAGGCAGTAACAGTTTATAACAAATTGAGTGAATTATTGTTTCAGGTACTGTGCTGTGTCATACACAGATTTCATTTTATCTTTGCAACAACTCTACACAGTAGGTACTATAATGACACAGATGAGAACACTGAGGTATAGAGAGATCAGGTAACTTGACCAGTAAAACCCAAAAGTGGCTGAGTCTCATTTCAAATCCATGAGCCTTGGCATTTAGCCATTACACTCCACCCAGTATTGTGCTAGAGCCTGCTTTTACTGGCTCACAAATTTTCAGGAATTTTGTAAGCTGGTTGTTAAACATGTTCATTATTAAAAATTAAATTATATAATCTTAAAAGTGAATAAATTACATTAAAACCAAAGGAAATACATACTCTAAATTCATCACTCCTCAATTATTTAGTACACTTTACTGTTCTGACTCTTGACATTATTTATATCTTTTCGGTCTTTCTGGTGGAATATAATAGTGTATTACTGCATGTTTCTCCTCAGCTCTGCATTTAGCGGCATCACATTAGCAGCTGAAATCAGCCTTGGATGGAGAATTTATGCCACAGAAATTGGCCGACAGTATAAATCAGAGCTTTGTTTTCTTTGATTGAGAGCCAGTTGTTAAACATTTATTGGCACAACACTGACCACATTGGTGGTGGTGGTCTTGTCAGAATGTGTTAGATTATGCAGATGAAAACCTATTTAAACAGATTTGATGTAGATATTTTCAAAGATGAAAGAATTGTCCCTGTCAACTATGTTAGTTAATTCTTATCTTCACTAATTGTCATCATTGCAAAGTTTTCAGTCCCCATATGGGTTGCTGAATATAATATGTCATGTCCTGTCCCTGTCCCCCTCCCTTTGTAGCCTTTGTTACCTTAAGGACTTGAGTTTTCCATTTATATGTTTAAGTACCATCCTTACCGGCTTAAAAATGTAAGCTTTTAACACTGCTCTGTTCCATATCCTTCCGATGAAAAGTGGAGTTGGGTTGTGGCACAGGAGGAAAATTCAGAAGGGGAATATTGAAGTAATGACTGCAGTAGGAGGAGGGGGAACCTATTTCCTGGGCCACAGGCGCTGGTGTCCTGGACCACAGGGTGGCTACAGCCTGGGACCTCAGGGCGGGTGGCTTGTCCATCTCCTGGGCCGCAGCCAGCCACAGGCGCTGGCGCCTGGACCGCAGGTGGGTGGCTTCTCCAGCTGGCTGCAGTCTGGGATCATGGGGCAGGCGGCTTCTTCGTCTCCTAGGCTGAAGCCAACCTCAGGCTCTGGGGCCTGGCTTCTCAGTCTTCCCCAGGACATGCGGCTGGTGGATGTGGGGCAGTCAGCTTCTCCAGCATGCTAAGGCCTGGGATCACAGGGAAGGTGGCTTCTCCGGCCAGCTGCAGTCTGGGATCATGGGGTAGGCGGCTTCTTTGTCTCCCAGGTCGCAGCCAGCCTCAGGTGCTGGAGTTGGACTTCTCTGTCTCCTCTGACTTCTGCATCTCCAATAGGCCTGGAGCAGCCAGAACCTGGATGCTTGCATGGTAGCTGTGGCTACAACGCAAGTATCTCAGCTCTGGCCTCTGCCATCTTTGTTGGGTTAATGTGCGTATCTCTGGATCAGTTGGTGGGCGTGGCTGGTGGGCTGGATGGTGGGCGTGGCTTGGGTGTAGCGAAGGTATGGTCAATTTGCATGTTTGTCTATTATTAGGTAAGACTAGTATGTACCACAACATGTTTTTCCAATCATCTACTGAAAGATACTTTGGTTGTTCCATGTGTTGGCCACTGTGAATCATGCTTGATTTCCCCTCCTTTATCTTTCTGATTGTATCTCTTAGTTCATGCTTCAGATAACCTGCATTAAAATTTGTCTTCCTTTAATATTCTATGTGCTTAGTGACTACATGCAAATAAATAAATAAATGTCTCTACCTTATGTAAATAATATATACACACACATATATACATGCTCATATTAAAATTTTCCAACCAAGAATATTGATTGCCTTTTTGTTTTAATCATATTTCATATTCTTTGAATAGATATTATACTTTGTTTATATGTACACTATACTTTTTGTTAAATTTATTCTCTTGGTAATTAAGTTTTTAGAACTGTGTGACTAAAATAATATTTGCTGATTGATTTCCTATTGCTTATTGTTATTACAGTCTGCTGATTTTAAAATATTTTTCATTTTTTCAATTAGAACAACAAATTCTCTTATTAGTTCCACTAGTTTTCTATTAGAGTTTTTTTAGTTTTTAGGATATGTAAATATGTAATCATGATAAAAAACAGATATGCCAAATTTCATCAATTTTAAGACATCATCAATTGTAAGAAATACAATTAAGCTGTGTATCACTATTAAAAACAACAATGACAAGTGCTGGTGAGGATGTGGATTAAAAGGAACACTAGTTCACTGCTGGTGGGAATGCAGATGTTGCAGCCACTATGGAAAACAGGATGGAATTTCCTAAAAAAATTAAAAATGGAACTCCCATTTAAACCAGCATTCCAACTTCTGGGAATATATCCTAAAAACCCGAAATACCAATCAGAAAGAATATATACACCCCAAGTACATAGCAGCATTATTTATAATAGCTCAGATATGGAAACTGCTCAAGAACCCATCAGTAGATGAAAGGTTAAAAAAGCTATGGGACATTTACACAATAGAATACTATGCAGCTGTAAAAAAGTGATCTCTTATCCTTTGGGATAGCATGGATGGACCTGTAGACTATTATGCTAAGTGAAATAATCTGAGAAAGACAAATATCACATGGCCTCAGTTATTTGTGGAATCTAATGAAAAAAAATGAATTGATCAACACAATGAGACCTGAAGCATGGAGATATGGAACAGACTGACATACACCAATGTGGGGATGAGAAAAGATAAACCGAAGAACTTATATATTTAGATGCATAACTCATGGACACAGGCAATAGGGTAGTGAAGACCTGGGGCAGGGGTAAGTAGGGCTGGGAGGAGAGGGTAAGGGGGAGAGGTACAAGAGATATCTGTAATGCTATCAACAATAAGAAATATATACATTAAAAATAAAACACAAAATAACAAACAAAAGTCTGGCTTTATGTAGATAATCCAAACAAGGAAAAAAAAGACAATGTTGCCAATTGAACTATACCAATAGTAGATGCCAATGTATGACAAATCTCCATTTCAGAAAAGCAAAATATGAATAAGACTTTAAAATCAATAAAACACAATAGTTTTATTCATTCTCTCCTATATGTATCCTGATGATTTTCCAATAAAATATGCAGTATTTTAATTTTTTTACATCTCATATTTACTGGACTTTATCTGTGCTATTGGACTTTTCAAAGAACTAGCTTTTAAATTTCTTTAACTTATATAATTTATTTCATTTTCTACCCATAATAAGTTACATTTTCCATTTATATGTTCATTTTTCATCTTTTCAAACCTATAAGGATAAGTTCCTCTCTTTTATCTAATTCACATTTTTATAATTAGTGAATAGATTTAGAATAACAGAATTTCTTTTCACCTAAACCGAAACCATTGTGATCTAAAATGCCATCACAATTCCCATCCCTAGTCTATAATCTTCCGAACACCCACAGGTCATTTTATACATTATTGCTCTACCAATTCCGACATCTCCTATTTACAACTTTGCAATGCTTTCAGCTATAAATTCAACTGAATATTTACTACATTTAAACCAGTATTTCTCTGTTCATGGTAGTAATATTTTCCGGTGTTTCCCCAATATTAGAAGCGCTATAATTCTTTCACATGTACTTTAACTTGTGATTATTCATTTTTTTTGCATTATACACACAATTACTCTTTTTCATGTGTTTAGATATCACTATAGTATGCATTTTGAGTAGAGTAATAAAGCAGTTTATCTTACATTTTCCCGAGGAATTACTTTTATAAATATTAAAATAGTATTCTGAAGTTAATCAGTTTTCAAAAATATTTTTAAATAAATTGACATGATATTGGTTTGAAAAATGAATATATAAAATGGCTTGAGTCAGGCTCACTGAAAGTTTGATTAAAGAAAAGTTGAGAAAATTAATGCAACTCATGTATATATTGTTAAGAATATATGAGATTATAAACTTCAAAAATACAATGAATCCTTGTTTTTGAGATGTCTAAAGGTATTATTTCCTTTTATTAGAAGAGAGTAAAACAATTCTTTTGATGGAATCCTTGAAGGCTTTCTTAACTTGATTGTTTCTCAGTGTATAAATAAATGGGTTTAACATAGGTGAAACAGAAGAAATGAGCAGCGAAACTACTTTATTAATGGTCACTTGCTCCTTTGCTGTAGGATTCATATAGATGAAAATGCATGTGCCATAGGTGATGGAAACCACAATCATGTGGGAAGAACAGGTGGAAAAGGCCTTTTTCCTTTGCTGAACAGAAGAGAATTTCAAAATTGTCTTGATAATGGAAGCATATGACAGAACAACACAAGTGAGAGTGATATTCAAGGTCAGGACAGCACAGATTATGACTGTCTGTTCGATGAGCCATGTGTCTGAGCATGAGATTTTCACTAAGGGAAATGCATCACAGGTAAAATGATCAAGCCTGTTAGAGTCACAAAATTTTAGAGTTAAACCCAGGCTAAGTGGTGGGACTATGATACATAAACCAGACACCCAACTGCTAATGACAAGAGTCTGGCAGACCTTGGTGCTCATGATGGTCGTATAATGCAGGGGTTTGCAGATGGCCACATAGCGGTCATAGGACATGGCCGCCAGAAGGAAAAATTCTGTTACTCCACAGAGGTCAGTAAAAAACACTTGGATGAAACAATCGTTGTAGGTAATGACCTTGTCACCTGCTGCAATACTATACATGTACCTGGGAATACAGGCAGATGTGAATGCGATCTCCAGAAAGGAGAAATTTTTTAAGAAGAAGTACATAGGTGTTTTTAGGTGAGAATCCACAGAGGTTAGTGTGATGATGGTCAGGTTTCCAGTTACACTCAGGGTGTAGGTGAGAAATAGAAAGATAAAAATCAGAACCTGTAGCCGAGGGTCATCTGTCAGTCCCAGCAGAATGAATGTTGTCACTGTACCGTTTCTCATCATGGACTTCCGACTTCTTCCAATCTGCGTGTGATAATCAGAGAAATTTTCTGATAGATTATAACTTATTTTAACTGTTCTAAAGCTTAACTCTTATGACCAACCTTAAGCACTGTGGCTTCCCCTATTCCCCGTTACACAATCCATCTTACTTCTCCCTTCAATATGTGCATTACCTTTACTGACTATGTGTGTTACCTTTGTTGCCCACACAAATGATGACTGTCTTCTCTTCCCTCCCTCATCTTCCAGTCAATGAATTATCTTCAGTGATACTACACTAAGTAGGAACTCAAATGTTCCTAATGTACAATCAATATGTCAAATATTGACATTTTTCTTACATAAAGTAATAAAGATCTGTTCCCATTTTTTATCTAGTTTACTTGTTTTATGAGAATATCCACTTTATTGTTCAACTCATTGTGTTCTGTTCCTATGGATATTAGGGCAGAATTATAATGACCATCCAATTCTTAAAGCTTCTAATTTAAAGAAAAATCACTAACTGAGGATCATGGGTTACTCAATAATCAGAATCCTTAAAAAAAAAGAATCCTTTCAGAAAATTTAGTCACTCATTCAACAACTATCAAGTATTTATATCAGATTGAGATGTAGAAATGATACATATGGCTTTTTTATTTTTATTTTTGCAGCTCACCTACCTTCCATCTTTTCTCTTACACTCTCACATATGTGTGTCACTGTGAAATCTGACTTGTCCTTCAGACTTTAAACGTTATTCAATGCTGAAAATATGTGTTTTCTTCATGATATTACAATTTATTTTATAATAGAAGTCAATAAACAGACTGACCAGAACATGTAACTTATTGATTTATGTTTATTTTATCTTCCAAACAAATGCTCAAAATGGACACAGGAATCTGAATGGGATGCTGTGACCCAGTCATTTTGTTATTCTTTTTGGGGTGGGAAGAGGAATGCAAAGGGCATGCTTGTATATTTCTGTATAAAGATACTTCATTATTTTTAATTTGAGATTGAATAGTCTATACAAAGTTACCCTGAATATTTCTCACATTAAGCAATGTGAGACAGGTTTGTTTATGTGTCTTATGCATAAACGTCCCAGACAATGACATTTATTCACATGAAGGAAATTCATTCTAAAAAAGAATTTAATAAATGTATCTGAAACACATTAAGAGTATATAAACTACCACTATCACAGAAATCCATTTTCTTGTCAGAGGAAATTATAATCTAAATCCTAAGATCAAAGAGACAAACTATCATACTTACTCTCCTGTTATTAAATCAGGACTTCTGTTGGCTATTTAAACATAGCAATATTAAGACTACAGTCTCCATCATTGAAAAAAAATTACTCTAAAGGCTGAGAACTCTCTCCACTGGTGGAAGCGATAATAATTTAAATAATCAGGGCAGAGAGAAATGCTTTTATGATGTCAAATGTGACTTTTCTTTTTAATTTGCAGAAAAAGTCATTAAGTGAAAACAGCAAATGATCCTTGGTGACCCACAATCAAGAATTGTTAATTAATTTTCTGAGAAATGAAGTTTGGCAAATACGCAATGAAACAGGCTTCAGTGGGACTGTCTCCTTGGAGATATGAAGATGTTGCAGGAGCATTTGACACAGGTCATTTATTTTATTTTTTAAAAAATGTATCTTTATTGTTGAAAGTATTACAGATGTCCCCCTTTCCCCCCCATTAACCCCCTCCACCTTGCTCCTGTCCCCTCCCCAGTTCTTCCTTCACTGCACTATTGTCTGCGTCAATGGGTTATGCATATATGCATGTAAATTTTTTAGTTACTCACTTCCTGCCACCCTTCACACCCCACTCGCCATATCCCTCTGAGATTCGCCAGTCTGTTTCATGCTTCCATGTCTCTGGATCTATTTTGTTCCTTAGTGTATTTTGTTCGTTAGATTTCACATATAAGTAAGATCATGTGATACTTATCTTTCTCTGACTGGCTTATTTTGCTTAGCATGATACTCGCCAGGTCCCTCCATGCTGCCTCAAAGGGTAAGAGATCCATCTTTTTTATTGCTGCATAGTATTTCATGGTGTAAATGTACCACAGCTTTTTTATCTGCTCACCTACTGATGAACACTCAGGCTGTTTCCAGATCTTAATGATTGTAAAGCGTTGCTATGAAAAATGGCAGGACAACTGTGTCATTTAAATTGCATAGTTCATTTCTTAACTGATTTTTTCTTTTTAGAGAGAGAGGAAAGGAGAGGGATAAAGAGATAGAAACATTGATACAAGATAAACATGGATGGACTACTTTTGCATCCCCCATGCTAGGAATTGAGTCCAAAACCTGAGCATGTGCCTTGACTGGGAATTGAACCGTGGATTCCTGGTTCATAGGTCCATGCTCAATCTCTGAGTAACACCAGCCAGGCTTATTTTCCATATGAACAATTGTACACATACGTTTGCCCCTCCCTGTATAAGGCTAATGCTTACATATAGATCTTATTTTTTTCAGATTTTTCTTTCTCCAAATACACTGACTGCATTATTCACAATTGTATAAAATTTTGCAACCATATCTTATAACTGGAGACAAAACATATTTTTATAGTTGCACAACAATATAAATGTACTAAGTGCCACTGAATCTTACTTAAAAATGGTCAAAATAATAGAGTCTGTGTTATGCATATTTTATTACAATAAGAAATATACTGCTGGAAGCCGGTCCATCCTTGCTGCTTGACACCGTCGCTGCAGGATAGAAACATCTGCACAGCATATGTTTCAAGGGACCTGGCGTATATAGCATACTGTTCTTAATATGTTTGCTCCCCTTAGTGCTGTGTGTTTTAACCAAGGTCACCTCTCCAAGAAAGGTTATTTCCCCAGGTAGGGATTTTTCCCTGAAGTTAGGGAGGGGATGAAACTCCTTAACTAAGTGCCAGGTGGGTAGTTAATCACTTTAACTACAAACAATCATGCTTAAGCTACATAATCTTTACTCCCTGGAATAGAGATAAGATTGACAGGATTAAAATCAACTGGTATAAATACGGATGTAACAAGACAATAAACAGCAGAACCTCTCTGGAGATCCAGACCAGAACTTGGCTGGAGATCCTGGCTGGAGATCCTGGCTAGGCTGCTGATCAACTGAACACTGTCTCCGTGTCCTTCCTTCTTCGCCGACTCCGTCTACACCTTTGGGAACCCCTGGACCTGCTGGGGTTGGACCCCGGCAATATACATGTTTATGTATTTAAATACCTTATTTATTACATAATATAAATTTTACCTAAGTTGTCAGTGTATGATATTCACTTTTAATAATAATCCCTTATGCCTTTCTTAATATGTATAAAAATTATAGTTATATCACCTCTCATTCCTTTTACACGTGTGTGGTTGGCGCCAGTGAGAGCTTTATATATCTAGATAAACTTGCTTAATTAGACCTGCTTTTGATTTAGCTAAACTTTTTCCAGCCCAGTGAAGGACCCCAACTTCTCTTTCAGGTAATTGTCAACAACACAGCAGTAAATATCAACATGAAGCATATTATTATTGTAGATCTTGCAGGGAGAACAAAAGGTAAAATATTTAACTGCAGCAGTGCTTGGCTATATTCTTGGTAGTTAGGAAAACTGAAGTAATTTTAAGGTCCACCATTTTTTACTTCTTTTCAGTCCGGTCAAATTTCTAAACTTTCTAAATCTCCGTTTTCCTACTAATTAAAAGAAAATAAGATTCCACCGAGTCTCCTATCTACTTACTATAAGACATCTATGAGGATCAAATGAGATGAGGCATGGGAAAACGCTTCACAGACATCTGGTTAGAGTGTGAAATGTTTATGCCTGGCTATAAAGCAAGTCGTGTTCCTGGGCTGAAGAAACTGCAAGGAGGCTGCTTGTCACTAGGGAGAAGAATCTGGGCATTGCTACATGACATCATTACCTGATGCCCACAGCAACCGTTTTCAGGATGGGCTGGGCTGTGGGCCGCATTTTGCACCATGGGGTCTCAGCAGCATTGGCTGTGATTTGGTGAGCTGTTGGTCTGGGCTGGTGGTGGGGCATGTGCCCCACTTGGGGGAAGCCCAGTGTTGCTTTTTCGGTGCCAGGTCTGTGGTGCCGTTTCTTTGTAAATGGCCAGTGCACTTCATGGCAGCTCCTGTGTTGAGCGTCTGCCCCTGGTGATCAGTGCTTGTCATAGCGACCCGTTGGACGGTCAGAAGGACACTTAGCATATTAGCCTTTTATATATATATATATAGATAAGAATATAATTATTTTCAAATAAAACAAAATTCTGTATTCTTCCACTTTTATAATTTAAAAAATATATTTTATTGACTTCAGAGAGGAAGGGAGAGGGAGAGAGAGATAGAAACATCAATGATGAGAGAGAATCATCGATCTGCTGCCCCCTGCACACTCTCTACTGGGGATCGAGCCCACAACATGGGCATATGCCTTTGACTAGAATCAAACCCAGGTTACTTCAGCCTGCAGGCTGATGCTCTACTTAGCTACAGTTTTACTAAAAATATTTTTGTACTCTAGTTAACATATTCTAGGAAAGAACTTATTTTTCAGAAATACAATACCTGAAATGAGGAATTTACTGGATGATATTAATAGCCTTATAGATAATGCAAAATAAAAGAACTGTTATGTATAGCAACTAAAATCTGATACACTGAAACAAAGAGGGGAAGATACTGAAAATATAAATAGATTTAAAGCCTGTAGACAATATTAACTGATCTAATGCACATGTAATTGGAGTGAGAACAAAGAAAGACTACAGGGCTAAGGCAGGGATGACAAAAATATTCAAAGAAATAAAAAAATATGAGTGAAACTGTACAAATTTGATGATAATAAAAAATTTGATAATCATCAAGAAGGAGAAACACAAAAAAATCACACCAAGGATAATAACAATAAAATTCCTAAGAACAAGTGATTTAAAAAACCCTCAAAAAGCAGCTACTGGGACAGACACAAGAATCA